ACAAGATTAGGTAACTATTGAAGGCTTACCTGGTGGTGAAGGAAACGGACAATGCTTCTTTGTGCCAGATACTGTTGCAAACAATGATTAACTCCATAAATCCTCATAATAACTCTATGAGTTGGTACTGTTATTATTCCCATTTCACAGATGAGAATACAGACACAGGAGGCTGGAAAAACCTAGCCCAACATCTTATTGTTAAGAAATTGCAGAGGAAGGATTTGACCCTAGATGGTCACTCTAGAGCCCATACATTTTACCACACTTTGATAGCAATGTGAAGTATTTACTAGAAGGGGAAGTGACTGGGAGATGACAAAGAGCTAGGTTTAAGAGATATTTCTGCAGTATAATTATTACACCAGATAACTAGTTGACTAAAGATGGAGAGAAAGGAGTCAAAATGACTGACTCTCATGTTTTTAGATTGATGGACTGGATTGATAGTGGTGCTACAAGTTGAGATTGGAAATATATGAGGTAGAGCAGGTTAGTGAACTCATTGAGTATAAAAGACCTGTTTGATACTCAGGAGATAATTATTCTGGGCCAGAACTGAAGATTCTGAACATCAATCATGATGGTGATTATAATAATGGCTAATAGAAAACATTTTATATGTCAAGAATTAAGTATATTTACATATATAGTCATGTGTCACTTAATGACAGCAATACATTCTGAGAAATGCATCCTTAGGTGATTTTGTCCATGTGTGAACATAAGAGAGTGTACTTACACAAACCTAGATAATATAGCCTACTCTACACCTAGGCTATATGGTATAGCCTATTGCTCCTAGGGTATGAACCTTTACAACATGTTACTGTATTGAATACTATAGGCAATTGTAACACAATGGTAAATGATAGTGTATCTAAACATAGAAAAGATACAGTAAAAATATGGTATAAAAGATAAAAACTGGTACACCCATATAGGGCACTTACTATGAATGGAGTCAGCAGGACTAGAAGTTGCTCTGGGTGAGTGAGTGAATGTGAAGGCCTAGGACATTGCTGCACACTACTGTACACTTTATAATCACTGTACACTTAGGCTATATTAAATTTATAAATTTTTTTCATTAATAAATTAACCTTAGCTTACTAAATTTATTTTACTTTATAAACTTTTAATATTTTTTAGCTTTTTGACTTTTTAATAATAATACTTAAAACACAAACATTATACAGCTGTGCAAAAATATTTTCTTTTTTATATCCTTATCCTTTAAGCTTTTTTCTATTTTTAATTCTTTTTTTTTTACTTTTTAAACATTTTTTTTAAAAACGAAGACACAGGCCAGGCGCAGTGGCTCATGCCTGTAATCCTAGCACTCTGGGAGGCTGAGGCAGGGGGATCACTTGAGCTCAGGACTTTGAGATCATCCTGAGCAAGAGTGAGACCCCTTCTCTACTAAAAATAGAAAAAAATAACCAGGCATGGTGGCACATACCTATAGTCCCAGCTACTCAGGAGAGTGAGACAGAAGGATGGCTTGAGCCCAGGACTTTGAGGTTGCTGTGAGCTAGGCTGACACCATGGCACTTTGGCCCAAGTGACAGAGCGAGACTCTGTCAAAAAAATAAATAAATAAATGAAATAAATAAATAATTAAAAAATAAAAAAACCTAAGACACAAACACATATCAGCCTAGGCCTACAGAGGGTCAGATCATCAATATCACTGTTCTCTACCTCCATATTTATCCCACTAAAAGATCTTCAAGGGCAATAGCAGGCATAGTGCTATCATCTCCTCTGATCACAATATCTTCTTCTGGAATTACCTTCTAAAGGACCTGCCTGAGGCTATTTTACACTTAACTTTTTTTATACGTAGAAGGAATATACTCTAAAATAACAATAAAAAGTATAGTATAGTAAATACATAAACATAGTCATTTATTATTATTGTCAAGTATTATGTACTATACGTAATTGTATGTGCTTGAATTTTATATGACTGGCAGTGTAATACATTTGTTCAGACCAGCATCATCATGAATACGTGAATGATGCCTTGCACTATGACGCTACAATGGCTATGTTGTTATTATGTGGCACATGACTGTGTTAACATGGAGTCCTCACATTAATTAACTGTATTAAGGCAATACCATTTTTTCCTATCTTGTCAGGTGAAGAAACTGAGGTTCTTAGGAGCTAAAATAGTTTGTCAAAGTCACTCTGCTTCCTCAACCCGTCTATCTTTTAATCCATAGGAATCAAAGAAGACAAGACAGGAGATGGTTCTTGTAAGTTGTACTGGCTAGAAATAATGAAGCCTAGTTGAAGGTGCTGTGAATGAAGGGGGAGAACTGAATCCTCTCCATACTCTCCAGATTTTTCTGTCAGGAAAAGGAAGCCAAGGAAGCTCTCCTGGCTTTTTGGTGCCCCCCTGTGGACTATACAAGAGTTACCTGACCTAACATTCTTTTTCTACCGTCCACATCTCCGTTTCCTGTCCTGAGAATCAGAGAAAGCTTAGCTACCCTCTCTGCCACCTCTTACTTCATAGTTAATTACACCTCAGATATCCCTCATACATAACCTCTCTAATTATCTTTAATTTTCTCCCACTCTTTTTTAATTCCTATACTTGAGAAAACACATTTCCTCACTCTCTTTTTCTATCACTATCATCAAAACCCTTCACAAATGCATTAAACGCCTACCATATAACAGGCAATATTCTAGGCCCTTGGCATACATCAATGGGAAAAAACAAAGATGAAAATATCTGCCTACGAGGAGCTTAAATTCTATTGGAAATAAGAGTTGTCTGTGTTCTGGCCTCTACTGTTCTAATTCCTCACTACACTTCCTCCATTCACCTAAAAGAAAACCTAAGAGAAAAACTTTAGACAAATTAAATTTAACAGAATTTAATTAAACAAAGAACGATTCACAAATTGGGCAACCCAAGAACCAGAACAGGTTCAGAGTGACTCTAGGACTGCCACATGGTCGGATAATATTTATTGACAAAAAAAGAAAAATGACATGTGAAAAATGGAAGTGAGGTACAGAAACAGCTGAATTGGTCACATCTCGACATTTGCTGTATTTGAACAATTGGCTACCTGTGATTGGCCAAAATCGTGTGGTTGGAGCAAGAGTAGGTTACAGTCTATTTACACATTCAGTTAGGTTACAGTTCTCTATATACAGAGAAACCTTTAGGCCCAACTTAAAATATGTAGGGAGGAAGCTTGAAGCTAAACTTAACAAACCCCACTCCCCAGAGGCTCCATAGAAGCCTTAGGGACAGTTTGAAATCCTTTAATTCTAGATGGACAGATTGAGGCTTAGAAAGAAAAAGCCTTTGCCAATATAGGATGTGACCTGGGCATCTAACTCCCAGGTCAGTGCTCTCTGCTATACTTGCTGACTCTCCACATGTCTGGTTGGCCCAGAGCCCAAACTGATAGTAATAATGGGCCTAGTACAACCTCTGACACAGTGATTATGCAATAAATATTTAGTGAGTGAATGGATGTATATGTGAACAGTTCTACTCATATGCCTGGATCAAAGAAAAGTCATGAGCTTTGAGATAAAATTAGAGATACTTTAAAGTATCAAAATTCTCTAAACTCTGATAATAGCTCAGAAGTCTTCCTCATAATCCCCATAGAAGTTTCCTTGTGTGTTACTGCCTTCTAATTAGAAATGGTTCCTTCAATTACCGACATTCAATAAATAAAGGAATTGTTTTTAGGTTCATATTTTACGTTTTTGTGTTGTTATGCTATAATTTTATATCCTTGCTAATTGTGTGTGCATTTGTTTTATTTTAACTGCATTATGTCTTAAATAGCTATTGTAACCTTTAAAATGAACACTTCCACAGGTAAATGTATCTTATACCCCAAACAATTAATTGATTTATGGGCTACCCTTTGACATGCAACCAGGTCATAAGTGAGGGAACTACTTGTAATTGGCTTGGAGACACTTAGTGTAACCTGAAATCTGACTAATCAAGTCATAAACTGTGGATTCAGCTTCCTTAACCCTATGTTTTCCTTTCTAATGAGATTGGACTACAGGTAGATCAAAGAAAATCTGGTTGAAGAGGAAAACTTCTAGGTGCTTCTGGCAAGAATGACTGTGTTGGTTTAAAGCAGCTGCATGAGGCCACCAATTCTCTCCTTTCATAGGAGGAAAAGCTATCTAAAGAGGAAAGAGGAGACTTTTTATTAACTCTACCTGGCTTGTAGGTTTAAGAGATTAGATAAATAAATTGCTTCTATAGAGACATTTGCCCCTGTTCACTCGGGGTAAGTATGCACACACGAGCTTGGAACTCCTTAGACCAAGAACTAGACCAGGAAGTGAAGATTCTGAAAACTCCATAGCTATACTTATATTCTTATGAAGGAAGAGCAGGTTGGAAAGATTGCAAGAAACAGATTCGCCTCCATGCAGAGTTTGGGGGAAGGGGCCAGCTAATATTGTTGAGAACAAGACAGGTCCATTTCGATGAGTAGAATGAATCAGAATGTTTCAATGATTTCTCATTGTCTAGTAAGTCCTGAAAGACAGCACGTCTTGTATTATCCTGGATACAGCTGGAATCCATTCTACTAAGTGAAGTATCCCAAGAATGGATAAACAAACACCACATGTACTCACCATCAAATGGCTACTAATTGATCAACACTTATGTGCACATATAGTAGTAACATTCATGGGGTGTCGGGCAGGTGGGAGGGAGGAAGAGGGGATGGGTATATTTACACCTAATGGGTGCAGTGTGCACCGTCTGGGAGATGGACACACTTGTAGCTCTGACTTGGTTGGGGCAAAGGCAATATATGTAACCTAAACATCTGTACCCCAGTAATATTCTGAAATAAAAAAATAAAAATAAAAGTTCAAAAAAAAGACAATGTTCATAGAACACACACAAAGGTAAATGGCACACTTATGCATATAGTAGGTTAGATTTTATTCTAAAAGCTGTCTATCCCTTGTTTTTTTTCCAGATGTGGATCTACTCATAAACAACTTGGAGGTCCAATTTAATTCAGAAGGTGGCTCAATGGAGGTATTCAAACAGGTCAGTTATCAGGAAAATGAAGTACTAATATTGGGCCATAATAGTGTTGAGTACCTGGTAATCATTACAGAGTTGAAGCTCATTTTTCTTTCTATCAATACGTTTGGAGACTGAGAAGAAGTGAAGGAAGTGATTTCCAGAAAGTACCTGAATGCTGAGGTTTCATATTTAACTAGGGAGTAGATCTGACCTAAAAGAAATATAGTCTCTAGGAACAAGGCTATGGAGACATGATTAGACTTTCAGTACACAACAGCAACCATTTGTATAGCACTATTCCATATTGCAGGCACTATAAAAATTAAATACATTGTCTCATTTAATCTTCACAGTAACACTGTTGAACAGTGTATTAGTTAGTATTCTCCAGGGAAACAGAACCAATAGGATGGATATATACATCTCTTTCTCTCTCTTTTTTGGGTAGGGTGATCAGGCACATATTTATGTAAAATATATCCTGAGTACCTGCTGTGAACCAAGCCCCATGTGATATGCTGGGGAAAAATATTTATTATGTGTCATCTTTTTTGAAGGAATATACAGCCCATCTTCACTTATATCTCTCCTGTAGTTTTCTCAACAACACCCCATCTATGCCAGGCCACACCCAGTATAAACTACCCTCCCCCCCAGACACTATCTACCACATAGCTCTGTTTTATTTATTTATTTATTTATTTATTTATTTTATTTCAGCATATTATGGGGGTACAGATGTTTAGGTTATGTATGTTGCCTCATCTTTTTTGAAGGAATATACAGCCCATCTTCACTTATATCTCTCCTGTAGTTTTCTCAACAACACCCCATCTATGCCAGGCCACACCCAGTA